CCTCCGCTTTGCTGATGACATTGTTTTAATAACAGCAAACATCAGCCAAGCGGCACAAATGCTGGCCGACTTTGACCCTGAGTGTGGAAAGGTAGGACTACAGCTAAATCTTACGAAGACAATGTTTATGAGAAACAGCCTCGTTCCTGATGCCCTATTCGCTCTCAACAGAACGACCATCTCCGAATCGAAGAAATAACTAAGAGGACGAAGAACCTCTGGCTCCGGGCACATCTCTTTGATTCCACTGTTCTTCCTGCATTAACATATGCCTCAGAGACCTGGGCCCTACGTAAACAGGATGAGAATGCTATTCGGGTCTCCCAAAGAGGAATCGAAAGAGCTATGCTTGGAGTATCACGTTTCACTCAAATGAGAGAAAGAATCCGAAGTTCCAACATCCGTCGACAATCAAGAATCAGGGATGCTGTCTCATTTGCCAAGGTGTCAAAAATCAGATGGGCTGGTCACGTAATGAGATTTAAAGACGACCGCTGGACTAGAGCTGTTACCGACTGGATTCCATGGGATGTCAAAAGACCGCGTGGCCGCCCACCTTCCAGATGGTCAGACTTCTTCATCAAGATCATGAACGATCGGTTTGAGGCTCTTCATGTTCCCAGAGAGAACAGATGCCACTGGGCTACACTAGCACGCGACAGAGACAAATGGAGACGTTACTGGCGCCCGCTCGAGCAAATCAAGGACTAAGGGGAAGTTAAGTGATTAAGTGATTAAGGTCATAAATGGAGTTTCACCTGAGGAGATGGTGCTCTAATTACCATATTTCTCAGGGTTTTGCCATATTAGCATACAGTTAGTTTTGGTGAAAAGAGAATGGTGCTGATGATGCTATGATAAGAAGAGAGAAGAAAAGACAATATACTAGCTTCTTCCAGGCAGGAACCAGAATGTGGAAAACAGAAAGGAAAAGCTAGACAGTTAAGCACACATCTGTCTGTACCTCTCTGAAGAACATTTAAATGTCATATTCTTCTCCATCTTTTTTTTTTTTAGTTTTTTATTTATTTTTTATTTATTTTTTAGGTAAAGATGCAGCCTGGCTGCTCTGGGCCCCACCTCCTTAGCATCTTCTGTGGCCCTCCCATTGTTCATCAATTTGCTTGAGCAGGCCCAGTAACGTCTCCATTAGAGACTTTGTTGTTACTGTGTTTAGCATATTGAATACGTCACGGGTGGCTTGCCAGGCTCTGCCGTGCGGGCGAGATACTCTCGGTAGCTTGCCAGGCTCTCCGAGAGGGGCGGAGGAATCGAACTCGGGTCGGCCATGTTGGCTGCGTGCAAGGGAAACGCCCTACCACTGTTTGATTTTTATTAGTGAATCACCATGAGGTACAGTTACAGACTTACAAACTTTCGTGCTTGTGTTTCAGTCATACAATGCTCAAGTACCCATCCCTCCACCAGTGCCCATTCTCCACCACCACTGATCCCAGTATCCCTCCCATCTTCTCCGTCTTGATGCTTTCACCCATGCTGTTCCTTCTGCCTTGGTTGCTTTTTTCTACCCTATCTTGTCTCCTGGCTAACTTCCGTTCATCCTTCTGGACTTAAATATCCCTCCCAGGGCTGGAGCAATAGCACAGCAGGTTGGGCATTTGCCTTGCATGCAGCCGACCCAGGTTCGATTCCCAACATCACATATGGTTCCCCGAGCAATGCCAGGGGTAATTCCTGAGTGCAGAACCAGGTGTAATCCCTGAGCATCGCCGGGTGTGACCCAAAAAGCAATATATGTGTATATATATATATATATATATATATATATATATATATATATATATGGAGGATACAGGCAAATGCTCTCTCCCATGCAGCCTGGCTGCTCTGGGCCCCACCTCCTTAGCATCTTCTGTGGCTTATTGTCAGAAACCAAACAAAGAGAGGTTTCTTCACACTGCTTCTGCTTTGGAAATATTCACACCCACTGGCAAAGAAATGCGGACTGCTCAGGCACATGCTCTGAAGAGGAACATTGAATGAGCACTGGCCCAACTCTCGTATCAGTATATAGTCTGGCGTGGCTTTTGGAGCTCCTGATGGCATTCTAAGACCGAGTGCCTGGTTTACAGAACTTAGCAAGGATGTAAAGGGCAAAACCAATGAAAGTGGACTCTGGACTGCCCCAAGGGTGCCACACTGAGTAAGATGTACACTCTACAAATCTCAAGTACTCTTCCAACAGAATAAGTGTATAAAAAGTTTTCCCTTCTTGTGGCTAGAGAGATGGCACAGTGGGTAGAAAGAACTTGCCTTGCATGTGACTGACCTGGTTCGATTCCTGGCAAGAAAAGAAAAGAAAAGAAAAGAAAAGAAAAGAAAAGAAAAAAGTTCCCCTCTCTTGGAGAAGGGGTGACTTTCTTCCAGCGTATAAATTCATAAAATCTATCAGTGGCCTTAACCTCAACCCATATGTTTTTCTATATTTTCTCATAAAGTTCATTCACTGCCACAAGTGGCAAAAATATAAGAAGAAAAATAAATTTTTTTGAGAAATAATAATATTTATTCTTTTTTTTACATCACACATTAAAAAAATATTTTTGTATTGAATCACAGTGAACTACAGTTACAAAGCTTTCATGTTTGAGTTTCAGTCATACAATGATCGAACACCCATCCCTCTACCAGTGTACGTTTTCCACTACCAATGTCCCCACTATCCCTCCCAACCCTCCCCCAGCCTCCATGGCAGACAATTTCCCTCTTAATCTCTCTCTCTACTTATGGGCATTATAGTTTGCAATACAGATACTGAGAGGCCATCATGTTTGGTCCTTTATCTACTTTCAGCACACATCTCCCATCCCTAGAAATCCCTCCAATGATCATTGACTTAGTGATCCCTTCTCTCTCCCAGCTGCCTTCTCCCCCAGTTCATAAGGCAGACTTCCAATCCTGGAGCAATCTTCCTCGCCCTTGTCTCAACTGTCCTTGGGTATTAGTCTCATATTATGATATTGTATAAGAAAAATAAATTTTTTAAAAATTTATTTATTAAATCACTGTGAGAACAGTTACAAGCTTCAGGTTTAAGTCTCAGTCATACAATGACCAAGCACTCATCCCTTCACCAGTGCATATTTTCCACCACCAAGAACCCCAGTATACCCTCCATCCCACCCCTCCCCCTGCCCGTGAGGCAGATGATTTCCACTGAACCCTCCTCTACTTTGATTACATTCATTATTTTGACAAAAGATGCACCATTATTATTTGGAATTTTCCCCTAACAATCAGACCTGCTGAAAAGGCATCATGAAATAATTTGTTTTCTATTGCTTATTTTAAAGAGCATATGATGTCACATGGTCGCAGTTTTAGATTTCTGATATTTTACTAATTAAGTCTGGAGGGATTTCTGCCAAAAGCCGAATAGTTCCAAGATTGGTTTGTGTGCCTCTGGGTCCATGACCGTGCCAGAGAGCTGTTCGTGGTCTCAGCAGGGCTGGAAGGATGTGCTGGTTCCGCCATGAGACTGCAGTTGCCCTGTCACCTCTGGCTCATACCTAGCTGTACAATAGGCTCTGAGGCGACAGCCACTGTGCTGCCAGGGGTGGGGGTGGAAGGCTGAAGGGACAGGCACTCTTTCCTCCTGGGGGGGGGGGGGCGCGGGGAGAGGGTGCATGGCGTCGTAGCTTACTGCATAGTCCATTCACATTTCTGCCAAAAGCTGCTTGGTTCTGAATTAGATCCATGTGCCTCTGGGGCCATGGCCATGCTGGAGAGCCGCTCGTAGGGCAGAAAATTTTTTTTTAATTGAATCACTATAAGATACAGTTACAAAGCTCTCATGTTTGCATTTCAGTCATACAGTGACCAAACACTCATCCCTCCACCAGTGCACATTCTCCACCACCAATGTCCCCAATATTACTCACCCCTCTTTCCAACCCTAGCCCTTCCTCCATGGCGGACAATTTCTCCCATACTCTCTCTCAACTTTTGCACATTATGGTTTGCAATGTAAACACTGAGAGGCTATCACGTTTGGTCCTTTATCTAATTTCAGCACACATCTCCCATCTCGAACGATTCCTCCAACTATCACTGACTTAGTGATCCCTTCTCTATTCCAGCTGCCTTCTCCCCCAGCTCATGAGGCAGGTTGCCAACTATGGAGCAATATTACTGGCCCTTGTGTCTACTGTCTTTGGGTATCAGTCTCATATAATGTTATTTTATATTCCACAAATGTAAGATCTCTTTTGGTTTGCTAAAGCTTTGTTGGTGTGGTATTATTATTATTATTTTAAAAAGTCACATAAAATCATCTTGAAGCAAATATATGTACATATATATATATATATATATATATATATATATATATATGTTTGGTAGTGCTCGAGGGCTCTAGGCGTCCCTCCCAGTGATGCTCAGTCGCAAGACCAGAGGTTCAGTTGAGGATGTATTGTTTCTGGGGATCCAAGATGCTAGGGTCCAGCAGGGCTACAGTGTCAGTGCTTGAGGACCCACAGTGCTTAGGACTTGTGGTGTTAGGGATTCAACCTGCTTCATTTCATGTACTAAATCCCTAGCACATTGATGGCTAATACTTTAAGATGATAAAAACAAATTGCTGAAAGGAACAGAAGTGAAAATTTAATAATTCCTTCCCAAAGGTTCAGATAAATATAATATGCAAGATTTTTTAATGTCATGGCTATATAATTTGTGGAATTTTGTCACTGTGAGTTAGTGTACATAAGTCAATGTTTGGGAAAACATCTGGTGATTTAAAAAATAAAACTTACTGTGTTTATCTCTTTTTTGATGCTATTTGAACCCATTCCTTCTAATTTTCTCTCTATTACCTATCAAAAATATGTTTTCTCCAACTTGCTGGGGCTAGTTTTCTTTTGTATTGAGGATCGTTATCAGAGGACACATTTGTGCTTTTAAATTAAAACAAAACAAAACAACACAACACAACTCTCTCTTTTGTATGTGTGTGTTTATGTGTGTGTTTTTCAGATCACATGGCGAAGGAACCAGTGGAGGACACAGACCCCAGCACTTTATCGTTTCATATGGTAGGCTACACATGTACATTCACAGGGATATATTTTGTTTTTCTCCCACGTTATGGCTTTAATTTTTGTTACTCTAGTACTCAGGGCATTCTTTCTGGAGGACCAAAGAGATTGGACAGTGGTCAGAGTATATGCCTTTCATGCAGCCAAAACCATTTTTAATCCCTGGAACCATATGGTGCCCCCCACCACCAGGAGCAGCTCTGGAACCCCCCAAGCCCAGCTGGGGTGGCTGAGTAATTCCTAGTACTGTGAGGCCTGAGCAGCACTACATCGTCAGACCCACGCATTGAACCACAGGATTGACTGAGCTCCTTGGTTCCTGAGTGCCACTTGGAGACCCCCCAAATTGAGCAGTCTTTCCAAAAGTGGGGGATACTGCACTCTCCTACCTGGGAAAGGAGAGACTCTGGAATTTTCCAGGGTATGGTAGTAGCCTCTGGTGCAGTTGGGAATGCTTTCTGTTTGTTCATTTAAGAAGGTAGTGTTCGTGGTCAGAGAGTTAGTTTAGCAGACCAGGTGCTTGCTTTGTGTGTAGCTGCAGACCTGGCCTGAGTTCTATCTTCAGCACCACCTATGGGTCTGCTGAGCCCCTGAGCCCAGGGTGATGCCTGAGGCAGATCCAGGAGGAAGTCTACACACAGCTATAGGGACAGGCCATCCCTAACCACACACAAAATAATAGCAATAAAGACAAATGAAAGGTAGATTTCCAGGGGGACACTGGGTAATTCTTTTCCTCAGAAGGAGGTAGGCCAACCAAGTTTGGAACTTTGAACATGAAAGCTTGTAACTATCTCACAGTGATTCAATAAAATTAAAAAAAAAAAAGAAGACTGAAATGGGCACTGCCCATATCACACATGTAGAAAGGGCATGAGAGAGGCATGGGGGAGGAGGTGAGTTGCCCAGGTTGGAAGCAGCCCAGGCCTATTCTAAGACAGCTGTGGAGAAAAAGAAAGCAAGCAAGCCAGATCTTGTAGAATTTTATTTCTTCGAAAAGACCAGTTCAGAGGGTTTATAGACCATGGTTGCTGAGGTCTGGAGAGAGGATGACAGGATTGCCTGCAAAATAGCATGAGGGATCGTTTTTAGGTGTTGAAACGTTCTGAATTTTGGTGGGCACCTATGGATGGTAAGCTTTTGTGAAAATGTCTACTCTGTACTTAAGGTGAGTGAATTTTGTAGTTATAAGTTATTTCAATAAACCTAATATGAAAATAGGTATGTCTTATAGGTATAATAAAAATAGTCAGCAACAAAATAATCTGAATCTAAAACCAACAACACAAACCCCAGTGTAGCAACTGACTTCAAATTCAGCCACACCAAAAACACTCAGTGGATACCCTTTAAGGTGTGACAAAGGTTTAATGTATGTGTTTTTTCATCCTGTGCTGGAGTGATAGCACAGCGGGTAGGGTGTTTGTCTTGCACGCGCCAACCTGGGTTTGATTCCTCCGTCCTCTCGGAGAGCCTGGAAACCTATTGAGAGTATCCTGCCTGCACGGCAGATTCTGGCAAGCTCCCTGTGGCATATTTGATATGTCAAAAATTGTAACAACAAGTCTCACAATGGAGACGTTACTGGTGCCCACTCGAGCAATTCAGTGAACAACTGGAGGACAGTGCTACAGTGCTTCATCCTACAAAAAACCCCGAGAGATGGTGGGCAGGTACTATTATCCCTTTTCTACGGACGAGAAACTGAAGGTTAACTGATCTAGATAAAATTCCCTGAGTAGAGTTCAGTTCTATATGGTATTTTACTTCTTGCTTAGGACCAAAAAGAAAATTTTGCCACTTTCCATGTGTTACTATTATGTAGTGGGAGATGTCTTCCTTGTTTCACAGTGTTTGGAAGATGTGATCCACTACTACAGAGTCACTAATAATTTTGATTAATTTGGGCTAACAAAAAAAGACATCTAACAGAATAATTGAATTCATTGTCCTTAGTTCTTTGGTCCTTCACAAGGCCTCTCAGCATCGTGAAGGCCTGTGTTTGTTTTTATGACTTGTAATTAGCATTTTGTAACTTTGATTTGAGAAATATGAACAGCAGAGTGGATCAAGTTCTGAAACACAGTGGCAATTAATATGAAAAAAAAATCCCCTGTTTCTTAATTTTCAAAGACAATGCAGAATCCTATCTATCACTCCCTCTGTTGTGAACTGTTCCTAAGGCCTTTGATTTCTGTCAAGCTTCCCTCCCTTTACCTCAGCCCCACTTTCCACTGTGATTATCTGGGTGTCTCATTCTCTTTCCTGACCACAGTTTCTCACTCCCATTCTCCCTCCTGCTCACCTTGGCTTGTGGCTCCTCTGATCTCTTCTCTGTGTTAGGAACAGTGAATTTCTCCCCCAAACTTTCCCTGCATAATTTTCTCACTATAACAAAGGAACACATATCAGGTGATTTAAACACCACAAATGTGGGGTATAGGAGGGACCTTGTGCTTTACATGCTAGAGGCCTAGGTTTTATCCACAGCACCAGTTGTGCTGAGCACGTCTAGTCCACAGCTGAGTGTCACCCAAGCGAAAAAGAAAATGGCGGAAGTGGGGATGGGGGACACTTAAAACCCATTAATGGTTAGATATCCGGAATCCATTTGTTAGTATGGATTCAGGCTGCCTCTGAAACCTGTAAGGAAGAATCCTCAGAAAGATTTAGGCCGGGAGAAACGGACCTTAATTGATTAATGATTAATTATTGATTTCTTTTGTGAAGTGAGTTGGAGGTTCAGAAGTTTTTCTGTCCAGCCTCAATGATTTTCCTAGGAAAGGCACTTGAAACAAAACCCTTGGATCTACCTTTGCTGTTGCTTTTTCTCTGTTCAAGGAAGAGATGGGAGAGGTCTACAAGGAAGTAGGGGTACCACTTAGAGGATTTAGGACAATGCACCCGCGGATTAAGGGGTACTAGAGTGGAATTTGACAGAGACTAGGGAACTGGGCGGGGAAATTGGGCACCTTCTCACTCATGTACTCATATGTAACTTTCCAGAGAATAAGTATCTTATTTCTGGGCTGGAGCGATAGCACAGCGGTAGGGCGTTTGCCTTGCACGCAGCCAACATGGCCGACTGGAGTTTGATTCCTCCGCCCCTCTCGGAGAGCCCAGCAAGCTCCCGAGAGTATCTCACCCGCAGGGCAGAGCCTCGCAAGCTACCAATGACGTACTCGATATGCCAAACACAGTAACAACAAGTCTCATGATGGAGACGTTACTGGGCCCGCTCGAGCAAATCGATGAACAACGGGAGGACCGTGAAGTTATGATGTTAGCTGAGAGTTTGTTCCTACTGTGCTTTCATATCCTGGGATATGTTACTTCTATTCCCTAACCCCCACCCCCTTATTTTGAGAATCTTTATCATGAATAATATTGACTTTTTTTATCTTTACTTTTATTGACATCGTATACCATATTAATTGATTTACATATATGCAGTCATCCTTGATCCTTAGAATGAATCCCATTTGATTACTGTACGATCCTTTTAATATATTGCTGAATTCAGTTTGTTAAGAGTCTCTGTTTCTGTAAGTATCAGGAATATTGGTCAGTAATTTTCTTCTTTGTGCCGAGCGATAGCACAGCGGGTAGGGCGTCTGCCTTGCACGCAGCCAACATGGCCGACCCGAGTTCGATTCCTCCGCCCCTCTCGGAGAGCCCGGCAAGCTACCGAGAGTATCTCGCCCGCACGGCAGAGCCTGGCAACTCCCCATGACGTATTCGATATGCCAGACACAGTAACAAGTCTCACGATGGAGACGTTACTGGGCCCGCTAGAGCAAATCGATGAACAACGGGAGGACAGTGACAGTGACAGTCACAAGTATCTTGTTTCTAGGACTTTAATAACCCACATGTTTGAAATGCATCAGAGATATGAGTGAACATTTACTGTTTTCTGTTTTGTTTTCCTCTTTTTGGGTCACACCCGGCAATGCACAGGGTTACTTCTGACTCTGCACTCAGGAATTACTTCTGGCAGTGCTCGGGGAACCATATGGAATGCTGGGGATAGAACCCAGGTCGGCCACGTGCAAGGCAAACACCCTACCCGCTGTACTATAGCTCCAGGTCCCAGCATTTACTGTCTTCTGCACAGTGCTTTTCTCCCCTCCTGTGAACGAGGTCTATAGAGTATATAAAAAATGATTATGTACCCTTTGTGCCCTCAATAGACTTTTTCAGTCCTGCCCTAGTCAATTCAGGACAGAGTTCTGTAATAGTGATACTGGCCCCAAGTGATTATTTATTTATTGTTTAGGTTTTGGATGGTGCTCATGGCTACATCAGCCTTTGTGCTCTGGCGTTGGTCCTGGTGGTGTGGGAGGACCGCGAAGTGTCAGGGATCAGACCCAGGTCTTTCACAGACAAAGCATATAACCCTTTCAGCTCTCTCTAGCCCTTAGAGCTCTATCTCCCCAGCCTGGAATGCACCCTTGTTAACGCAAATGCATGTCACAGAGATGATGAGAAGAAATGCTTTCTCCCCATAACTATGAAAACTAATGCTCCTCAGTTTTAATGGCAGGAAATGCAGAGGGGGGAAAAAAGCACAGCAGAAAAGAGAGGAAGTATGGTTTAGTGGTCAGGACAGAGACTATTTGGTTTATTTACCTTGTATTCTAACATTAATTTCTTGTCAACTTTGATGGAGAAATTGAAAATAAAATGGGTCAGACCTATTGCTAAGACCTAGGCAGAAGACTTCAAATATTTTAAATGAAAACTGTGATTTTTCCCAAGACAAATCTTTCTTTTCACTTTGATCTTATAATTGATTGTGTTTTAAAATAACTCTCTTCTTTCTGTTGGTTTCTACAGTCAGACAAATATCCCATTCAAGATACAGGACTCCCTAAAGGTATGTACAGTTCATATAGCTACTGAAACTTGTGATTATTTTATGTTGTGAACAAAGCACTAGTCACAGCAAATTTTCATTATTTAAGATTGGGAAACCAAAACATCTGATAATCATGACTTGATGATTATCCCAGGCATGAATTTTTTATTAAAGTTTATAAATTGCTATTATAACAAGTTGTAAATTCCATTCTAGTGGTCTTTTTAACTCATTTCATTATAAAATGAAAATGACCAGGACTCTGGGTTGTAAATAACAGGAATCTAACTCAGATTTATTTCAAAAATGGATGAGGGACTTACTGGTTTAGGAGTTTGGAGGTACTGGTAGATTTATTAAAATGGTGCTCTCAGGCTCTCTCTGTCTCTGTCTCTCTCTCCTGTGTCTTCTATACTGCTGTGTTGACTCCTTTTTCGGGCAAACTTTCTCCATATGGCAGGGAGGATGGTCCCTGACACCCCAGCTTTTCCATAGTGCAATTCAAGATGGCAGAGAGATACCCTTTTCCTGCCCCTCCCCCAAATAAAACTTTAGGGAAATTGTGATATCCTTGGTCCATTGTCATCGGAAGGATGAAGGACTTTGGCCAGGTCTGAGCCTTGAGGTTGAGAGGGTGTGAAATCATTTCTATACAAACCATGGAAAGTTTCATTTGTAGACAAGGGAGTAAGGTGTGCTTGTCACGCTGCAAAGCTAGACGTGCAGTGGACAATACCCCATAAGCAGACCACAAAAGTGGCTAAGCTGAAATTAGTTTCTCCTAACTTAACCCGTGGGCTGGTGCGCAAGACTGTGTCCATGTTGGAGGTCAAGCTGATGGTTGATAACACAGAGTGAAAGGGTGGGCTGGGGCGAGGTGGGGACAACCATGTCTGACCAGCCTCAGAGTTGGAAGGGGCACCTGTCTGGTTTCCTGGTGAGGGAGGACTTCCCAGCCCATGCAAATGTGGGTTTCCCCAGTGATCTTCTCAATTTTGGGTCGCATAAGAACCCAGGTTGGAGAGTTGGGAGCGGCACCCAGGGGCAGCCCCTGGTTAAGTCTAGAATTCTACCAAGTCTCTCCTGCCCTCCACTGCTTACCCAGCAAGTCTTAGCCCTGCTCACTAACTGACACCTGTAGAGTCTCCCTCCTGTTCTCCCCCATGGGAAGGGAAAAATGGTAAGGGAAAAGAGGATAACGGCCAAGTTTGAGTACAAATCCTAACGATACTGGGGAACACACTTACTTCCTCTTTTTATGGAACACACTTACTTCTTCTTCCCTGTGAGTCACTTCTGAGTGTCCTGGGCCCCCAGTCTGTGAAAATGGAGGTGCAGCTGAACAGCCAGTGAGTGAGAGAGGAGCAGTGTCCTAGGCAGTGGTCAGATGTCAGTTCATAGTGAAGAATCATCTGGCAAGCTTGTTTCAAATGCAGGTTCTGGGCCTCACAGCCCTTAAATCATGTTGTGGTGGATCTGGAATCAGGTTCAGGAACTTGCACTGTAATAGCAGAGTTGTTGCAACACAGAACTGACTTTGAGAGCTTGTCTGAGACTCTTCAAGAATTTGCTGGGCGTGGGGCTACAGAGATAGCACAGTCAGTAAAGCGCTTACTTGACATACAGCCAACCCAGGTTCGAGTCTCAGCATCCCATATGGTTCCGTGAGCACTGCTAGGAGTGACTCCTGAGTGCAGAGCCAGGGGTGGCCTAGCCCCCAACCCCCTTAACAAAGACACACACAACACAGACACATTCACAGACAGACACACACACACACACACACACACACACACACACACAAAAGAATTTGCTGGTAACGCCATTGAGGCTTATAGGAGAGAGAAGGGCACTGGAGCCAAACTGCCATGTGCTGCAGGTAATGTCACATCTCAGGGTTTTAGTTTTCCACCCCCAGGGGAAGGAGGACAATGTTGACATCCATTTCCCAGGGTGCTTGGGAATCAACAAAAACCAGTCTGGATGGTGCATGGCATATGTGAATTCCAGTCTTGGTGGCAAGACATCTGGCAAGAGATTTGTAAAAAATCAGTGCGGGGACTATTTGAAAACTGCTTAGCAGAGAGGCAGAGCAGTATTACTTTAAACAAGGACTGTGACTCTGCCTTGCATTGTGAGGGCTCAAGCTGTCTAAAGGTTTTTGTGTATGTGTGTGTTTTCTTTGTATCACTGAATTTGATTTCCTGTTTTGAAAGGAAAAGATTGTTTCTTAGCAACCTGATAGCACTGTAACTGAACTACTGGGTTTCTCCTAGAATTTAAGTTTGACAAAAACTTAAATGAGACTTGGGGAAATAGCTCAAAGGGCTGGAGTGCACAGGTGTGGCCTAAAAAAAGAGAAAAAATGATTTTTTTCTGTCCCTATTCATGAGGAATAATAATAGTAAATGCATAATTTCTTATTTCCAGAGAAATATGTTATACGTAAAATGAGACATGTCCAGAAACTTAAAAACTTACTCCAGGATTTGAATGACTAATACAACAATGTATTATTATGTATATTTTAATATACCATAAAATGGCCAATGTCATCCTTTGATATATATATAGTGATGATCTCACTGGAATTGTTTTAGGAGAAAAAAACCATGTGAACTAGAGAAGAAATTAATTTATAGATAAAATAAAATCCTCATCCAAATTCAGATGATGTTCTTCAAGGATTTCTAATTCTCAACAACAAAGTTTGTGTGGAATCATAAAACAACCAGAAGAGCCAAAGTCATAGTCCATAGTCAGAAATAAAAAAATTGGAAGATGTCCCATTCCCTAACTTGAAATTATACTAAAAAGCTATAATGAGCAAAATAGTATGGTACTGGAATAAGGACAGACAGATCAATGGGTTAGAATCGAATACCCAAAGACAAATTCCAAGATCTATGGCCAACTAATTTTCAACAAGGGATCTGGGTACATGAAGTGGAGTAAGGATAACCTCTTCAACAAATAGTGTTGGAAAAACTGGATAATCACATGTGAAAAGAATGAAGTTAGATACCTCACACCTTACACATAAATTACTTCAAAGTGGATTAAAGACCTTGAGTTGAGACCAGAATCCATAAGGTACATTGAGAAAAATAACAAAAAAATACTCCAAGATTGCTACAGTGCAAGTATAAATATCTGATCATGGAATTGTTAAGTTCCTTGTCTAAGAATTTATTAAGCTGTTTGTTGCTAGTTGAGCTTCTGTTTTTGAGCCTTATTGTTTTTATTTGTTGAGTTTGGTTGGCTTCTGTGTTACCTTCCTATCTAATTTGGTGTGCTTCTACCGGAATTTCAGGATTGAGGAGCTAGGAGGTGTCATGAAGCTGTATATGTGGCCCAGTATAATCTGGGCTGGAGCGATAGCACAACGGTAGGGCGTTTGCCTTGCACGCAACCAACATGGCCTACCTGAGTTCAATTCCTCCGCCTCTCTTGGAGAGCCCGACAAGCTACCGAGAGTATCTTGCCCGCACGGCGGAGCCTGGCAAGCTACCCGTGATGTACTTGATATGCCAAACACAGTAACAACAAGTCTCATGATGGAGACGTTATTGGGCCCGCTCGAGCAAATTGATGAACAACGGGAGGACCGTGACTGTGACCGTTATAATCTGGGTCAATGGGTTGACATGGCATCAGGTAAGGGAGATGGCCATGGCTGCAGGAACTACAAGGGCTGGGATAGGAAGAGGCTGCCCACCCATACTCTGAGAAGACACCAGGGTTCTCAGCTTGGGAAGAGAGTACCTGAAATTATTTTCAGTTTAGTGTCTGTGCAGAGAATATTAGTGAAGAGGTGAAGTTGAGCCCTTGATGTGGCTGCAACAGTGGGGTGTGGGTGTGACTGCCATGACTTTTCCAGGGTGATACTAAGCCCACCTGCCTCCCAAGGGCACCTTAGAGTTTTCAGTTGTAGGGATCAAAGTTTCCAAGAATTTTAGCTGTTTGGCTGCCTCTCCTCAGTGATTAAGTCAGGCATTCCCAACAAAATAGAGTAGGGCCAGAGGGTGAGTCAACATGAAGTGACTATGAGAGTTTTATACTATTGGTTATTGTTTATAGAATTTTTTATTGGGCTGTTTTAAATCATCTATATGTATAATTATGTCATCTGCAAATGCTGATAATTTTACTATTTTTACAAATCTCCCCCCCCTCCTTCCCTTCCTTTCTTTCTCTTCTAGTTCATTTCCTCTGTTCAATTCCTCTGTCTCTTTCGAAGAGCCCGGCAAGAAAGGAAGGAAAGGAGGGAGGGGGGAGGGAGATTTGTAAAAATAGTAAAATTATCAGCATTTGCAGATAGCATAATCATACATATAGATGATTTAAAACGGCCCAATAAAAAATTCTATAAACAACCTTCCTTCCTTCCTTCCTTCCTTCCTTCCTTCCTTCCTTCCTTCCTTCCTTCCTTCCTCCCTCCCTCCCTCCCTCCTTCCCTCCCTCCCTCCCTCCCTTCCTTCCTTCCTTCCCTCCTTTTTTCCTTCCTTCCTGTATCTGGCACTTCCAATACTATATTGAACGAAGTGAGCATCTTTGCTTTGTGCTTGATCTCAAGAGGAATTCTTCCAATTTTTCACCATTGACAATGATGCACCGTAGCACTGTAACTCTGTCCTCCCCTTCTTCGATTTGCTCAAGTGGGCACCAGTAATGTCTCCATTGTGAGAATTGTTACTGTTTTTGGCATATTGAATACACCACAGGGAGCTTGCCAGGCTCTGCCCTGCTTGACAGTAATAAATGCCTGAGAATTTGTTGTAGATGTCCATTACATTTTTGAGGACGATTACTTCTATCCCTGTTTTATTAAGGGTTTTGTCATAAAAAAGGTCTTAAACTTTGTCAAAAAGCTTTCCCTGAATTGATTAATGTGATCATATGATATTTGTTGATATGGTGTCTTACACTAATTGATGTGTATGTGTAGAATCATTGTTGCATCCCTGGAGTATATCCCAATTGATCATGGTATATGGCCCTAATACTTGCTATTGTATTAGGTTTGCTAAGATTTTGTAGAGGAATTTTACACTAGTATTCATCAGGGAAATTAATCTGAAGCCTTATTTACTACTAGTGTTGATTAATTAATGTTGGCTTCATTGAAACTATGAGTAAGCATTCCTTTTTCTTCAATATTTTGGAAGAACTGTAGGAATAAAGGTAGGAAATCTTTGAAGAACTCACCAGTGACACTATCTGGACCAGGGCTTTTGTTCTTGGGAAAATTGTTAATTACTATTTCAATTTTCTTGCTTTTGATTGGTCTGTTTAAGTTTTCTATTTCCTCCTCATTTCATTTTAGTAAATTATATGATCCTAAGAATTTCTTTAATGATTTACACCTCAACAGCATAGAGTTGTTCGTAGAACCTCTTATATTTTGTATCCCTGAGGAGGGTTGTTAAAATATCCCCTTTCTTATCTCGGCAATTCTTGGGGGGTGGGAGGGATACTGGGATTAGTGGTGGTGGAGAATGGGCACTGGTGGAAGGACGGGTACTAAATCATTGTGTAACTGGAACCCAAGCACAAAAATTTGTAAGTCTACAAACTGTACCTCATGGTGTTTCACTAATAAAATTTTTTTTAAAAATCCCCTTTCACCTCTGAGCCAATTTATTTGGGAATTTTCCTCTTTCTCTCTTGTATAGCACAGTATTTTTTTAAAAATATAATTGAATCACTGTGAGATACACAATTACAAAGTTGTTCATAACTGATTTTCAGTAATACAATGTTCCAACACCCATCCCTTCACCAGTGAACATTTCCCACCACCAGTGCCCCCAGTTTCCCTCCTGCCATCCCCCATCTCCCGCCCCATCTCCTGCAGCCTGCTTCTATAGCAGACACTTTTCCTCTCTCTCTCTCTCTGGCATTGTTGTTTGCAACACAGGACCTGAAAGGTTATCAGACATATCCCTTGACCTCCTTTCAGCACTCAGTTCTTGTCCAGAGTGATCATTTCCAACTCTCACTGCCATGGTGTAGCACAGAATGCTTAATGTCTCATATGAACTTCTGGCTTGATTATGATGAATGGAATGTGATCCTTTGAGGGAAAATGTCTTTGAAAAAATATGTTTTCTTAATAGCTGGCATTCAAAAACAAGGAGAAATCTTACATACAAACATAACTCATTGGTTTTTGTTGTCATTTTCTCTAATGTTCCTGATGTTTCTTTTGTTGAAAATTTTTGTGGTGAATTTAAGTCTAATGTAAAATAATGTAGATTCATCCTACTGCTAGTTACTGTGAAAATTTTATCTTAAGCATAGTTGATATTTTGGAGGCCTTTAGAACAATTTTTAAATTAAATATAGAAGTAGTTCAGTTTAGAAAAGTTAGGAAAAATAAGCAAGTACTAAGAAAAACACAAAAGTAGTTTGGAAATTAAATTGTCACAATGTCTAAAATTAGAAAGCTAACTTGTGTTTTACATGATATATTAACTTGCATATTGACATAGACTTGTTAATAGGTATATGTATTCATAGAAAAGTTAATATCTCAGGGAGCCAGAGAGATAGTATAGTGTGGAGCAAACCTGGGTTCGATCCCTGCAATTTCAGATGATCCTCTGACTACCTGACCACCACCAGAAGTGATTTTAGAGTGCAAAGCCGAGAGTAACTCCTGAGCATTGCCATGTGTGACCCCAAAACAACAACAATAAAAAAGTTAATACACCAAACATCTTCATTACTTGCTGTACGTTATTATTCTACTCATTTCATTGGTACACTCTCTCACATTCAACCTTGACCGAGACTCTCTTGAGACTTTCTTGATGCAATAAAATCAACCCCCTTCTCAAACTCATGACACCAAGACAAAAATGACAAAATAAAAGTTTTCCTTGTAAGAGGGTAAAGGGATGTAGTGTGATATGAACACAGGAGTATTTGAAGTATTACAAGAGAAAAAGTTATGTTTTTAATTCAAGTTATTGTTTTTTGGGGGGGAAACACTCACAAAATTGCTGTTAATAATTGTAAGAGCCATTAAAAGAGTTACTTTGACTATTATGCTGTTGCTTTCTGCTGTGAAGAATCATGCTTTAGTGTGATCAGAATTCTGTGTTCTGTCCATTAGAATGTCAGATTTTGGGGGGCCCTGCTATTGCAGTTAAGGAGGTATCTATAGTAGGACCCAGGAATCTATATTGAGAAACAACCTGGGCTTCTAGGTTTCATTTTGAGAAACAAAGCCTAGATAGGATCTCTACTGCTATAGCTGAAAAGACAGATACTGTACGAGGGGCCAGAGATATGGTAAGGGGGTTAAGGCATTTTCCTTGTGTGTGGCCGACCCTAATTAAATTCCAGTACCTCACGATCCTGAGCATTGTGGGATGCACTCAAGGGTATCTCAGGTAACTCCTACATTTAACAGAGCAGCATCCCTTACATTGAACCACCAACCATTGGCCTATAATTGCTGAGAGGGGCACACTTGTCCCTGATCTTGAGAGCCACATAAAAAAATATTATACAGGATCTTTATAAAGACCATGCTTTCAGTTATATCATGGGATAAAATTAAGGAAAATAGTCTTTTACTCCAGTCTAAATTTTGTAGGGGTCAATGAACATAACCCCATACTTTGAACAAATCTAACAGCCCAATTCATGCTAAATTAGTATTAATGAATCTAAAAAGTTATTGTCTGAAGCAAGCTCTATTTAGTCTTAAATGTTTAAGCCCCTCTTAAACAACTCTTTCTAAGACTGAGCATACGTGTCTGCATGTGTGCCTTGCCTGCTCTGAGCACATGTGTCTGCACATGTGCTCAGAGCATTTATAGCTATAAATATTTACAAAGCACAATGCACTTCATTGGTTGAACACTATTTCTGTCATCCTTCAAATTTAGAGTGCATCACTGACTTACTTGGTGAAAGACTAAAATCTAATGGAACAAGTCAGTTTTTTAACACTGTTAAAATATTCACCACAAATCAGAGAGGTGCAAAACTGGCATATGCTTAAGAGGAACAGTGATGTGACGGAAGTTTCTTTGTCGCAATCAATTTTGAAAAGTTGTTCCACATTGAGCACGTGTGTTCCATTTCTCTGACTTTCACTGGCACTCCCCACTTTAACAATAGAACTGAAAGGGCTTCTGTATGACTTTTAGAAGGACGAGCTCTCTGAGATCAGACAAGATAGGGTGTGTTCAGAGTGGTATGGCCGTATACAGAAAGACAAGTAGGATTCCACTTTTTCCTGTCTGGAAAGCTTAGTAAAATATCAGACAAGTGAAAAAAACTAACAGGACTATGGTGTAAGGTTTCTTAGAGGATAATGTGTATAATGGGTGAAGGAGAGATCCTGCCCTTGGGCTGTAGAGATAGATGGGCAATTACATGACGCTTGATTCTGGAAAGAAGAGATCGACAGCATGCCTGAGTCATATATGCTCACAGTCTGAGTGAGGAAGGAGAACATTCTATGCTGCTCAGAATCCCATAGGACTTGTGCTGGGAGGGAACAGGAGATGGAATGAACAGACAGGGCACTATGGAGACAAGTATTGCAGTTGCAAGATGTGCAGTGCCTCCTGAGTCCCCCCAAAGGGATGTGATTAGCTAATCAAGTTGATGAGGTTTGCCAATTCACACACTTTAGTTAATTTAGATCCAATATTGGAGGGCACAAAGGCAGTTAGCAATCTTCTTATCTATTGGCTATGTAAACCATTTTATAAATCTTGGGTTTCTAATTAAGTCTTTGAACAACAGTTTTTATCCTGGAGATAAGAACATTTTAGTTGGAAATTAGGACATATCCATAACAAAAATAATAGAGGGGCCAGAGCGCAGGTAGAGCACTTGCCTTGTACACAACTGACCTGGGTTTAATTCCTGGCATCCTATATGGTCCCTAGAACCTGCCAGGAATAATTCCTGAGTGCAGAGCCAGGAGTAATCCATGAACATCTCCGGTGTGGCCCCAAATCCCCCAGATAAATAATAAATAAAAATACAGCACCGTAAAGGTCAAAGTATAAGTCTGCTGGAGATGGGCATTTCTGTTGCAGGCAGCCTTCCCCATTTCAGTGAAGTTAAATCTGGTCAAATGCCTTGTGATTGAGCTTCTGTTGATTCTGTTAGTCATGCTAACTGTTTTGACCACTTCCTATTTACCGCATTAACAGAGAAAGGATCTTATGCTAAAGTTACATAGTTAGGTGAACATGTTACCCTACAGTGAACAGATGAAACAGACAAGGTTTATATGGCATATATAGACACAACCTGGGAGCAAAGGATGCTGCGGGGTATACCTTCCCATTGTGTTGCACTTGGGAACAGAGTGGATGGCCAGGAGTTGTACAAGACAGGCTTTGTATATAGCAAGAGGGTATGGTGGCCCTGGTTCTCAGTGGTGAGATGGGCTTGTCTATATAGCTCTGTCAAGGCACTAAAACCCATCTCACAAGGGTATTCAGAGGCTTTTCCTGGTCCGCATTAATTAGGTACATTGTTTAGCAAAGTGTATGGAGTGGGGAGAGAAAACCTCCTGAGATTAGCAGGTGATGGTGACAAGGCAGCATATAATACTAAGACTTTTACTACTGACAATGCACGTTCTTTATCAAGATTTGTGTCTTTTTTCCCCCTCAGCTGAGGAATGTGATCCAATTAATTTGAACTGTCCAGCAAATTCTGATGTGCAAAATCAGGTAAGAGTAACTTCAATTGTAGCTTGATCCTTTGGTACATTTGAATCCTAATAGATTGCATTTTTAATTATCTTATAAAGCTTAAAAAAGTAAGGTGTGTGTGGAGGTATGTGTGATAGAATGCATTTTTGCATGTGTGAGGCCCTGCATTTGAGTCCCCCTGCCTGGTGGGAAAAGAGAGAAAAAAAGAGAGTGAAAGAGACACGGACAGACAAACAGATGGAGAGAGAGAAAGAGAGACTTTTTTAAGTCATGATAGAACTTCTCTAATAGTAGTTTTGCAGTTATTTGGGCTGCAGTGATAGCACAGTGGGCAGGGTGTTTGCCTTGCTGGTGGCCAGCGGGGCTCGATTCCTCTGCCCCTCTCGTAGAGCCCGGCAAGCTACTGAGAGTATCTTGCCCGCACGGCAAAGCCTGGCAAGCTACCCGTGATGTATTTGATAGGCCAAAAAACAGTAACAACAAGTCTCACAATTTGTTGTGAGACGTTACTGGTGCCTGCTTGAGCAAATCGATGAATAATGGGAGGACAGTGCAGTGCAGTGCAGTGCAATTATTTACAAAACTTTTAACTTTTTGATATCAGAAGTCAAACATTGACATTATTTTATTGTCTTTTTCAAAAAAGTAATGATGATAAAATAATTGTTGCTCTTTTAAATTTCAGATAGGATTAGTATGTACACAGAATCAAAAACTGTCTACTGTTGCACTATTTATCTTTTGGAGTGCTCGAGCTCGAGCGGGCCCAGTAACGTCTCCATTGGAGACTTTGTTGTTACTGTGTCTGGCATATCGAATACTCTCGGTAGCTTGCCGGGCTCTCCGAGAGGGGCGGAGGAATCGAACTCGGGTCGGCCATGTTGGCCGCGTGTAAGGCGAACACCCTACCCGCTGTGCTATTTGGAGTGCATCCTTCTGAATACCGTCTTAGGTCACCCTGTGCTTCAGTTACTTCTTAGACCATCTCTTGTCATGTACTCAGCTCATGAGCAAAAGTGTACAGGACCTCACATATGCTAAACTTTATTAGAGCAATAAATGTCTCAAAATAGCTTTGTCTTACTGCAAGGTCAGTTCTACTCCTTCCGTTACACCAAGTTAATGTTTAACAGAACAAATTTGGAGTTTTGTTTAGTCTTGCTTTTAAAACTTCAGTCTGTAATAAATTATTCATAATTTGGATAGTCAGATCACATTTGGCATGAAGCAAAATTATAACATTGATAAACAAGAAATTTTAATTGTAAATGCAGTTTTCTTGAATATGGTCAATGATGCAACTTTTTTTATAACTCATTTTATTTTTATTACTTTGGATTTGGGGCCAAACTGGTATGCTTGAAGCTTACTCCTCTCTCTCTCTCTCTCTCTCTCTCTCTCTCTCTCTCTCTCTCTCTCTCCCTCTTTGTGCTCAGGGCTCACTCCTGGCTCTGTGCTTGGGGATCACTCCTGGCAGTACTGAAAAGGGCCACATGTAGGTCATCTGGATGTGAGTCCAGCGCCATACCCACTGTACTATCTTTCCAGCTTCTAAATTGCTACCTTTAATTGCAACTACCTGCTTTGAATATATTATTCTTATTTATGAATTCTTTATATGTGACTGAATTAGTAAACCTAATGTTTAAATTTTCCCCTTTCAGTCATTAATTTGTTTAGCAAAGCTTTATTCCTCACATTCATTGTTATATGATATAGTCACCTTTAAAGATACAAGCTTAGTGCATTGTTTAATTTGCTTTCAGGGATTTTCCCAAGCTATTTAAGATTTGTTACAGAGTCTACTTTAGGATACTGTACAGTATTTTTTCTAATTCTAATGATAGAGTTCTGTCCATTTCGGTGAGACTATACTAAAAGATGACAATATATTTATCACCAAAAAGGGAGGGAGAGCAGGAAAACCTGATTTAAAATTTTTCTAAGTTCCATTTCAACAAACATGAAAGATTATTACAATTCTGAAGAAAAGCCAGAGTATTCTAAGTTCTGTTTTTAATGGCATGCTTTCTGTTTTTTAAAAAAATATTACTCTAACTCATTACTTCTGTTGGCTACTTCTTTTCTAACCTATAAGGTTTGTTCTAACTGCTAGATATCCAGGATAATTCTTTGAAACCATCTTGGCAGAACAAAGAAAACTCATTAGGTGAGGAACATTACAAAATGAAAACCAAAAAAATCCCACCATACTTCATTTTCTATAGCTCAGACATTAAAAACAAGCTGAAAATATGTTCTTTAGCATATTAATATTTGTTATTTTTGTGATTTTTATCATTTAAAAACTAAGCTCTACTTCTACTAAGACTTAATTTTAGTAACTTTATTTTTACATGTTACAGGGGAATTCTGATGTTAAGAATTAAAGTCTGAGGGTCTGGAGAGATAGCATAGCAGATGGGGTGCTTTTCTTGCACATGGCTGACCCAGGTTCAATCCCCAGCATCCCATATGGTTCCCTGTGCAATGTCAGGTGTGAGTCACCCCTGAGTATCATCTAATGTGTCCCCCCAAAAAAGCAAACAAAAAAATTAAAGTTTGAGACCAAAGAGATAGTTCAAACGGTAAAGCACATACCTAGCTTATGTGAGGCCCTGAGCTCGATCCTCAGCATTAAATGACCCAGTTCCCCAGCACTGCTAGGTGTGATCCTTATTAAAAAATAATTAAGTCGGCTCTCTCAGACAAATGTTCATGAAGAAGGCTTTTCATGGAATAATTTCAAGTGAATCCTTTAGCTATCAGACTCTCCTCTTCCTACAGGGTATTACTTTGAATATACTGAGCATATTCAATATGCCAAAAGCAGTAATAACAAGTAACAACAAGTCTCACAGTTTGTTGTGAGACGTTACTGGTGCCCGCTCAAGAGAATCAATGAACAATGGGAGGACAGTGCTACAGTGCTACTGAGCATATGCTTGGAGGCCAAATATCAACTGAATATTTTGGGGCAGCTAAAACTGGGAAAAAGGAAAGATGAAGTCCCTAGTCGGAGCTTACAAATTTAGATTCTAGATGTTTCTAGAAGGTCTGGTTCATATGTTTTTGGCATATTGAATATGCCATGAGGGGCTTGCCAGGTTTTGCCATGCGAGCAGGATACCCTCAGTAGTTTGCCGGGCTCTCTGAGAGGGGCAGAGGAATCAAACCTGTGTCAGCTGCGTGCAAGGCAAAGACCCTACCCGCTGTGCTATCACTCCAGCCCTATTTTTAAACATACTGAATAAAATTTAGAAAAGTGAAAAACTCATTTCATCTATCACAATTTCATCTATCATAGCTATTTTTGTCATTTTGTATACATTTTACATGCATAATTACACAAAACTATTTGAAAATAATTTTATATCTTGCTTCTGTTGCATAAAATTCTCTAACAATAGATCCAGCTTGTTCCATTGCCTTTCCATCAGTGCAGAGGACCCCATCATACCACTAAGAACATTTCCCAGTTTTCTTGGAGAACTATTCTAAAGTGCTAGTAGCTTGGGCCAGCTCCTTCTCTCCTGGTGGGACAGCAAGCACCTCATTCCCAGGGCAGGGCCTTTCAGGGGGGCGCCTTGTGACTACAAAAGACTAGCTCCCTGGCCCTGCCATCAGGACAGCCACCCTAGTATTTCACATCTCATACATACACACATGAGGGTCTCAGTGGCACAGGAATTGGACCTGGAGTTTCTGTAGATCATAAGGCAGTCAGCTACAGAAATGAGGGGCTGGCCTCCCTCTTGGGCATCCCAACAAGAGGTGATTTTGAACACCATCACCACTAGTAGGCTTGGAGTATCTGCCACTGAGTATTTAGAGTGGTGGCATGTATCATGAGGAATTAACTTGAAGCTTTTATATCTTGCCCAGCGGAAGAATAAAATTGGCAGCCTCTCTTATTTATTAGATCTTGCCTGTAAGTCTAGTCAATGTATAGTTTAGGAAATACATAGCATTACAGAGAAGCTGAGGAGTGGATCTTCTCTTCTTATATCCCTGTTTTAGAGAGTTTTCCAGGGACAGGTGATCAGTGGCTGAGTAGGGACCTGGGGCCTCCGTTCTGCCTCATACCCACCCTCTAGTTGCCAGTAATTAGCCTTGCTGATAAACCTCTTACTGGCTTCTGATTAGGCAGACTTTAGTTTTTTCCACAGATATAAATGATATCAGTCTGGCAGACTAGCCTGGCTAAAATCTACTGGAACAAAATTGGTAAGGCTGCTCTTTTCTTTAAATCAGCCTGAGAGATAGTCGGCAAAGTCCCATTCAGCAGCCCCCTTGCCTTGGCAACCAGCCTGCTTACCTATCTGCAAACCTAAAGCAATTACATGCATTTTAATAACAGGGAATGGGCCCAGCCAGCATTTGCTCTAGATGATATCTCAGTGAGTCAGCTCAGCGGGTCCCTACTTGCTCTTCCTGATAGACAGCAATCCTTTCAAGCTCCAACAAGATCTCTTTAGCAGATTGGCGAGTCCTGTCGTTTGTTCTCAAAAGGAAATCCAGATAGTTCTGGTTTTAGGAAATGCTTGGTAATTCCTTAATTCATTCCTGATATGAAGCTTAGAGAATGAGAAACTGGTGCTGCCAGATGAAACAAGAAAAATTTCCCCAGAACTTGTGCTTGGTATGTTTAATTCTAGTGAGACTGAAATTCTTATTTCAGCCTTACAGTCCACACAGGACTCTCTTTATTGAAGTAGGCTGTGGAGCATTCTGAATATGGAACCCTCTGGGAATTCAGAGAGAGGAGAAGGAATTCCAGAGTCCTCTAAGGGGAAGTTACCTGTTCAGTGATAGTAACACTAGTCTCTCCTGGCTTTATGCACTTCACACTCTGTTTTTTTTTTCTGTATCTTCCTTCCTAGTTATTTATAGAACTGAATTTCTCATCTTCAGGAAGGTGATGAAGGGTGTTGCATTAGCACAGGTGGATAGATTTGCAAACCACTAAAAGGTTGGAAATAAGTGAAAGATACCAAGTGAGCTTGAATGGAGTCTTT